CACACACACACACACACACACACACACACACACACACGCACACAAATTAGAGATGCGCGAACTACCTACCTTTCTATTGACAATTTGACATTTCAGCTTGACTCTCTCTCTCTCTCTCTCTCACACACACACAGACACGCAGAAATTAGAGCAGCGCGAACTACCTACCTCTCTTCTGACATTTCATCTTCACTCTCTCTCTCTCTCTGTGTCTGTGACGCAGGCCATACCCGCAAAATCTCCTTCTTTTTTTTTTCCTTAAAATTTTGGACCGTTTCTCGATTGATGCGTGTCATCCTTGCGCAGGGTCTTCCGGTCAGCCGGCGTCGCGAAAGCGGCAGAAATTACAACTGAGGTACTTTTTTTTTTCTTTTTTTTTTGGGGGGGGAATTACTCAAATGTCAGCAGCCCCCCCCCAAAAAAAAAAAAAAAACTCAGCAGCCAGCACGCCCCCGGGGCCCGGGGTACGCATTTTGCGGGCACCTCAAGAGGTCGTGGGGAAACCCTTACCGCGGCGGCGACAAGAAACTGGTCAACGCCAAACTACTGGCAAAATGCTTGGTCTTTGCGTTAGCCAGACCCGCATTTGCGCCCCCAACCCCACCCTCAGCCAATGGGGCAAGGGGCAACATTCTTTGTCTCCTTCACCGTGAGAGGTAGGACAGGATAGGACTGGGCAGGTAGTAGAAAGGGGAAATAATTTGGGAGACGAATTTCGGTCGTCGCCACGCCACTGTGGAAATGAGAAGAGATCGAATGAACCTTCCTCAAAAAACGGTAAGATGCATACGTTGCTATTCGCAGTAACGAATGCATCTTGCACTTCTCCATGGGCCGATGCATCTTTTTTCATTTCGACAGTAGTGTGGCAAGAATTATGCGTCCCCTCTTATGGCTGGAGGGAGACAACAAAGCCATGATCGCAGGGGTCCGCTGTATAAGCCTTAGGAGTAGTGGTAGGTAGGTAGCTAGTGAAGGTGAATTGAAAGTTTTTTTTTTTTTTTTTAATTGAATGAATTTGAAAGATGATCAAAGATTTGAGGGGAAAAAAAACAGGTAAAAAAGTGTAGCTTTTTTTCTTTTTTCCCCTCATTTATTGCGATCCTGCGGCATTATTTGTAGTATCGGGGGCACGCTTAAAAAAAAAAAGAAAGATGATGAAAGATTTGAGGAAAAAAAAAGTTAAAAAGTGTAGCTTCTATTTTCATTTCGGTCCTCGCCCAGCCAATCCCAGAATGTGCAAAATGCACCATGTATCACAACCGCCATAGGTTTCTGAAAAAAAAAAAAAAARARAMCACCACAGGTTTTGTCTTTTTCCCATTCCGCCAGTGGTGTGGCGATACCCTTCAAACGCTCCGCAGTTTCGTGTGACTTTCCTCCCGCGCAGAAGCCGTACGACGGGGAACCAAATCGTGAGAGGTACCCATGCTTGTGCTGTGTAGATAGTGAAAGGCGATTTTTTTTATTTAATTTTTTTTCCTCAAGAAAGGCGAAATTGAGAGAAGAATATTGCTTAGTTCATTATAAAGAAAAAAGGACATAAACTTTTGCTCCCAATTTTTTTTTTTTTTTTTTTTTTGGAGAAACATAGCATTTTTCATTCGAAATGAGAGCACTGTGGCCCCGGAACACACCCGTACATTGGATTGGAAAGAGCGAAGGCTAATTACAGCGTCGACTGAGATCAGCGGCACGCGACACATAAGCAAGTTGCTGAAAAATACAACCCGCCAGAATATGTGAAAACTCGGAAATTACTCAGAAATGAACACTTTCAGCCTCAGTCCCTTCCTCCTACGATGCATACACACTCTTCACTCATGAGGATCTACTCTGGATACTACTCATAGCTACATACTAACCCACTACTACTAATGCTAACTTGCTGGGCAGCTATGGCTGCATCACTTCCAGCAT